TACCCGAGGTCATGTTGTTATCACAAACTGGTTGTATTCATTTACGAGGACCGTTGCGTCCGCTACGACTTCCTAAAAGTAATTCATAGGAGAGTATTGCCTTGCATTTCCCCCACCTTTCACAAATCTCAGGTGATTGCGATTGCGCTTTTCTTGTAGGGGTAGATATTTGATTTGCTGGTCTCCAGTATTTGCCATCTCAATCAACAGGCATTTGTGAGGGATTGTCGTAGGAGTTCGTGCATCGAGGTCTTGTAATGTACTTTTGGTCACTATGACTGTATGAATTTTCTGTAATTTTGAACTCGCTTCGCAACATGATTCAAGCTTTTCTTTGTTTGTTTTGAGTCGAGTGCGAGTTCAACTGCTTTGGGTTTTTTTCGGATTCCGGATCTAGTCAAATCAAAGTCTTTTGTTTGATGTCTAGTCTTTTCAAGTCCTGCAGCCTTGTGATTCAATTGCATGCTCACATTTTTGTTCAAAGTCTTCTGGACGTCCTGTAATTCATTTTTCATGTTCAATTGATTTGAATTGGGCTTCAGTTTGATTTTATTTCATTTGAGTTTGAACTTTAGAATCATTTAGAATTTTGTTACTGATTTAGGTCCCCAAGTCTCTGTTCTTCGCTACGAGTCCTCTGCCATTTTAGTTCAAAGTTCTGTACATTTATGTTCAGTATAGGTCTTCTATATTATTGCCAGAAAGGTCTTCTTATTGTTCAATGTCCTTTGTACTTTCAGTAAAAATTTGGCAACTCCCCGGCATTCTCCTCGTTTGGGGGAAAAATAGGGGAGCTGGGTCTTCCAAGCACGCTACTGGCTGTATGGTAGGTGTCTGTAGCACGCGGCGTACAAATTTTTCCATCCACCAACTAGCAAGAGCGTGTATGGGGCCTCAGCAGTACCGTAACAGAACCCATAGCGTACCAGAACAGCAGTGACTCCACCACGCTAAACAAGAGCGTGTATGGGCTTACCACCCACTGTCGTTGCGTCGCACCGGGCTATCTCCTACCAGTGCTAACACAGCGCGTATAGGTGGTTTCTCCGTCCGCTGAAATGTGAAAATGGGATTTTGGAACCATCATACCTTGCGTAGGCAGTCGTCGGCGGTGTCGGTATCGAGGTCCGAGGACCGCCCCCACCACGCTCAAGAGCGTGTATAGGGCTTACCCGCTCGTCGTATGCTTCCGCAGCGGGCTCCTCCTCGTGCTACACAGAGCGCGTATAGGTGGTTCTCCGGTCCGCTGCAAGCGGAGAACGGGATTGGAGTAGAAATTTATACTTGAAACCGGCGATGGAGGCTCGTGGACCGAGGAAGAAGCAAGCATTTTTTTTTATTATTCATTTTAAATTATTTTAATTAATTATAACTAGTACTCTTTAAAAATAATTAATATAATTATAATAATTAATCTTAATTATAATAATTAAATTATGCTTAATTTTAATTAATAATAACTAATTAAAATTAAAATAATTAATTTTAATTAATTTTAATTAAAACTAATTATTATTTATAATAATTAAATATAATTAAAATATTTAATTATAATTAAAATATTTAATTATAATTAATTATTAATTATAATTAATCATTTTTAAAATAAATTAATTATAATTAAAAGAAATTAATTTTAATTAATAATAATAGATAATAATAATAATAAAAAAAAAAAATTTCTCTCCCTCCCCAATCTCTCGGTTCGGCGGATTACGGGATTTTGGCCGAGAAGCGAACCAAAGGGAGAAAGTTACCCACACTGCTGGCGAGCTCCCGTTGTACTTCCGATCAAAATGTTGCCTTCAATACGAGCGAGCTCCCTGTAATTGCTTCCGATCAAAAATGTCAAACTTCCGATCCGAAGGGATCGACGGAGCGGCGGAAGGAAGAAAGTTTCCTTTACACCGAGCGGGCTCTCGCGTTGCTTATGTCAAAATGTTGTAACTTCCGACCCGACTGGAGGGAAATGCCGAAGGAGCGAAGTCGGGTCAGCCACGAAAGACGTCGAAGGGGCGAAGCCGAGCGACCACAAGGAGCTTAAGCGAGCTCCGTTGTTGGTTCCGATCAAACTGTCGTAACTCCCGATCGCACAAGATGAACGCGTCGTCGAACGAGCGGGGCCAAGCAGCGACGAGAGGGAGAACTGGAGTGGAGCGAGCGATATCGAGAGAGAGAGATCGGGAGAGCAGGAGTCAAACGAGAGTGAGAGAGCCCGGGCTCTCTCATTTCTTCGGTTTTTTAACGAGGCAGAGGGGTCGTGCGAAGTCGTGGGAGAAAAGACGACAACGTGCGATTGCAGGGGGTTGGTGAGATTTGAAATTTTTTTTTTTGTTTTAGATACGGGTCAACAGAAACACAATCACTCTTCAATGTGTTCATAAATTTTTTTCATATTACGGGCTTGCATCTTTCATGGCGATATTGAACATTTCATGCTCCAGAAAATTAAATGGTAACTCATGCAGCATTATTATATGGGAAATCAACTCGCACATCCTAGTATGGTCATTTTTCCAATTAATGACATTAGTACTTTTTCTAGGTTCAAACTTGGTATTTGGCAAAGGTGGCTATAAACAGGGGCGAAACCAGCCCTAATTTTCAGGGGGGGCAAACTTATAAGACATATATGTCGGGTGTCCTAGGGGGCAGTGTCCCCTGGCGGGGTTCGACCTGTTGGGGGCAATTACCTAAAGACCATAGTATTTTAAAATTTTTAGGGGGGGCAATTGCCTGAAAACCCTTGTAATAAAGACTAAAAAAATGAATAAAAATGAGTAAATTACCTAAAAAACCATATAAAAAAAATTTTTGAGGGGGGGCAATTGCCCCCCCTGGAACTCATTGGGTTCCGCCCCTGGCTATAAAGAAATATTGAGTTGTCCTTTGGAGTCTACAACTTTTCTACCAGGGTAGTAAATAACATTGATATTGCATTGTTGTGCCACCTTTGCTTTTATTGATTTTAAGCTTACAATGATTGCATTGAACCTTCTCGGTTGCATTATTAAGTTTTACCACTGTAAATTTTTGTCAGCTGATGAGTTTTTTTTCCTCACCTTCTTTGCAAAAGGATTTTCTTGTTTATCATCTTCAATTATTATTGTCCGACTTAAAGATGACCCAACACTACGTTGGCTATCACACATTGTCAACTGTAGTGGAGAAGGTGTTGGCTCTATTGAATTAAGATGTTGTGCTGAATTTTGTGACATTACTTTAAAAATTCAAGGTTAGAGATGAAGGTTGAGTGATGAATGTAGCACCATAAAAAATTATAACATCTTGGCATATCTTTAATATAATAAAAAATATCACATGCCATCATTCAAATGAATTATCTAGTGAAACAAGTAATTTTACTTGGTGTTAAAAAACCATGTAAATAAAATAGAATAACTAAATATAATAATCTATTGCTTATCTGAATTATGCATAGAGAGATATGGTTATTTGTAAAGAAGCTTATAACATCTATAAGCTTAGTAAAATAGGGAAATGATTCTATAATTTGAAATATAAAGTTTTCTAAGTTGTCTATGACTTACAATGGAGCCACCTACCTCGCCTCTTCACCGTTGACTTTTTATAGATGCAAACATGCAGCTATTTGGTGGGTGGAAAAAGGTCAAGAAGCTAACACTTGCAATCTTTTGCAACTAAAGTTCTTAGCCTTTGATGTACTCCACATGGTGTGAATGTCTTGCATGGAAAAGGGACTAATTTCTATTTTTGAATCATCTCCTTTAGGTCAAAATAAAGTAGCTATTAGACCCTTAATTGAGCTAACTAAAATAATACAAGAAACACATTTCTAAAAGCATGGTGGCTCCTTAACATAGAAAAGGACAAGAAAACTCATTTAAAACCTCAGAAAAATGAAATATTTAGCTTAAACACATACCATAAGCAACAACAGTTGAGTCGGAGATTAGTCCTCATAATTTGGCAATCAGTTGTAGTAAAGAATTCGCACAAATGCATTTGAAAACAAGCTTAACTTACTATCATTTGAAACCTAATTGACTTTAAAAAATTTTCATCTAAATCTGTGATGACTTCGCCAGCAAAAGAATACAGCCTAGGGTAGCTGGATGACAGGAGAATGATGAGGGTTGAAGCCGTGTAATACAGAAAGAAGAGGAAAGAAATACGAGAGTTCCGGTTCGATCTTCGCCTCTTCAGTCTTGACTCTTAAGCAGAGTGGGGATGAAAGATCGGTGAAGTGTTGAAGCGGGAAGTTTCGACTGCCTGTAGCTTTTTTATCAATTATATAATTATATCATGTTATAAAATAAAAATGATTATAATTAAATTATTCATAATATCAATTTAATATATATATATATAATTAATTTTAAAATTTATTAATCAATAACTATTATATTATTAAATTATAAGAAATTTAATATTTATATTAGGTTGTTCATCATTTTTAAAAGATACTTAATTGACCTAAATAACAAATATTAATTTAGTTTTTTAACGAGCTTATTGATGAGCTCTGCATTGAATAACAATCAATCTTTAAACATTCTTTTTATCGAACTTCAAATCGAACTTGTTCATGAGCTTTAAACGATATTGTTCATGAACATAAATAAGTCGAACACATTGTTGTTCAAGTTTATTTATTTAATTTATTTAATGATTGAGAATTAAAAAAAAATATTCAAGTTTGTTTGATTACTTAATCAAACGATCACGAACGAGCGCTAATCAAACCGAGCCACAAGAAGCGCGTCAAACATTTGGTTCGTTTGCAGCTCTAGTGCTAGCCATATGTTGTCACTAATGTTGAAAGTTCAGCAATTGCTTTTTATAATAAAAAATTTCAAGATACATATTTAGATGGGTTTCTTAAACTACATCCCAATTCTTCCTTCCTTGCAGCATATGAACCTTCTAAAAATAAAAACTCTATTCTAAATATTGTACATTCTTCCTTGAATTGGTATGTAGCTTCAGTTACTAACATTTTCCCATTACTTCTACAGCCTAAAAGGAGGTCAATTAAGCTTGTGTGAGTGACCTTAGATATCTGTCATTCAAAGATATTGGAGAAATTGTCTTTGAATTCTGATTGATGGCTATAAAACTTGCTTGGAAAGGACCTTCTCCAATTCCTGTCAGTGAAGTGGTGGGGAGGGATATCACTTAATCATTTGGCTGGCTGTTCTCTGGTTCGCACGACAAGAATTCTGAAATTTGGGCAAGCAGAAGCTAAACCAGCAGCTTCACACTATCTTCTGTATATTAGATTGAAGAAATTATCAAATTAGGACATACATGTTAGAGATGCGAGCTGCGTATACAGTATCTTAGGCTTCATTTGGGACGGCTTTTTTATTGTTTCTTAAAGCGGTTTTCTAGTATAAAAATTTTATTGCTTCTTAATTTTTGTACTAAAAAGCCGTTTTAAGCTGTAAAAAAAACTGTCACAAATGAAGTCTTAAATATACATTGAACTTCCTTGCAGCCAAATTTGTTACTGCCAGGCTGGGGGCTTAGATGTAATTGCATGCATTTTCAGGATGACGAGTGAATCTGGTGGTTTACATGTAATCATTAGTTGATCTACTAATGCCTTTGATTCACTAACCTAATCACCCTCCCAATAAATGGTTATTTTTCATTTCTTTTTAAATGTTTGAACAAATACATTGGAAGTTTTTCAGTTGCATACTGGGTTCTTTTAGTAATTGTAATCATCCCAGGTTTCTTTTCCTTTCAAGACCTAACTCCGCCTTTGACAATCTTCTTCTAGCCAGGTGCCATTGAAGGTTCTCTTTGTAATTCATCAATAATTTCTGCTGTAGCCCAAAACAAACCAGGGTTTTCTCAGTAATGTTGTTAATCTTAGCTAATTAAGGGCAAGAGTAAAGCTTACAAGCAGGAAAATGATTGTTCTGATCTTTTGGTCATATGGCTCAATCTTACAAGAAAAGATCATACGAATTGCAGTGGAGAAAGGTTTATAATATATGTTTTGAGGATTTTGTTTTTGAGATGATCAGCAGGTGACAGTTCCAATGATATGTATAACAAATCCTTAGCAAATCCAAAGGCTTTCAACTACCTTCTGTGCATTTTCCCCAATGCAGCAATGGTAAAGGCAACATCGTACCCGAAGTGACGAACAGGGATATTGTAGTTGCTTTTTATGTAATTTGATCAGTTATATGTGAGCAGGCATTTTACCAAGAAATCAGAAAAGGGCTTGGATTTGTTTCTATTGTATTATGTTTATGGTTTCAAAAGATATTTTGGAGATATTTCCTGATCGGCCAACCATAAGTTCACAACCTCCATAGCTCCTGTAGGCTTGACCTTTACATCAGAAAGACCCAAGAGCTGCATTTAGAAGGTTGCCAATGTGGTTAAAGGATTCATCGGCAAAGATTCTTTCAACTCATCGTATCTAAGGTATCATCTTATCGACTTGCTTATGAATACTCGACATAAAAAAAGTTATCTCAAGGTCAAAAGTTTGGCCAAAAGAGAAGAATAACACTGAGCGTCCATTAGATCACGTCGTGTGTTATGAATAGTTAATGTTAGGTCTCATTTATTATTGTGTTCTTTTATCATTTTATGTGTAGTCTTTCCTTTAATATTTGAGTCTATATAAATAAATGGTGAAGATACACATTTAGAATTTTTTTAATCCTTTTGAAGCCCTATGGAGCTAGTGGAGCATTTTCCGCTGAGATTCTCTTAGCATTCTTCTTAAACTTTTAAATTCTTCTTCTTTCTTTTCATATTCATAATAAGCTCTCGAGTTCTTGTCTCTTGAGTTCACTTGCTAGTGGGATTAACACGTAACTTTGCAGACTTAGTGAATTCATCTTCTAAGTTGCCCTCTTACAACAACTTGACAACACTTTAGTTGGCAACCCACCCATGGTATTCATCAATTTAGCCATAGAAAATGTTCGCCTCAAGGAAGAAACAAATATTCTTCCTCATGATCGATTAACCATAAGTTAACTATAGCTCTAATAGGCTTGACCTTCACAGGTTGGTAATGTGGCTAAAGGATTCATCGGCACAGATTCTTTCATCTCGTCCTATTTAAGGATTCACCTTATCAACTTCCCTCTGAATACTTGACATAAAGAAACTCACCCCTGGGTCAAAAGTTTAGGCAAAAGAGATTAATAATGCTGAGCATCCATCATATCACGTTGTGTTTCATGAACAGTTTGTGTTAGGTCTCATTTGTTATTGTATTTTTTATCTTTTTATGTGTACGATTAAGATTGATAGATTGATAAAGATAGTTTGACTCATAAATTGATATAGGCGATCGACACCAAACATTTATACATATATTATTGTACTAATTACTGCCACAATACTATTTTACTGTAACTGTTATTGTATTGTTTTGTTGTATCCGACACTAACCAACTGATGTGAACATTATTATGGATATGTCTATTGATTCACTATTACCGTTATTTCTATTGATTTACTATTTATCGATTCATTGTTATTGTATTAAACTGGTTGATTATAAGTGTGCTGCTTCGCTTTTACCTTGCATTAATTTTAGTTGTAAGATTTTGGTTACTTGTTTGATTATGTGCTTATTATGTGACTTTATATATTTTTATGAATGGTTAAAGACCCTATGATGTGAGACTTCGGACAGCATGTTTCATTTTCTTTTCGGTATCTATAGTTTATTTTATAGTCATTATATATTTATAGTGATACAGTTAGTCTATTATTTCATGATTATTGTATATGTGATATTTTTGGGTTTATAACAATTATATATATTGATGAATATAAACAATCATATTTCTTTCTGTTGCTTATATGAAATGTGTAATATCTGGATAAAGGAAAATAAAGAAAGATAGATCAAACTCTTCCAGTATAGATTATGGGGGGTGACAAATTAATATATGAGTAATGGTTATTGAAAAAGTTTAGATTTAACTAGAGCTTATGAGCAAAATAGAAACGATTCATTGAATATTTGTTGCATATATCATTTTTTATGTATCACATCTTAAAGATCTGTTTAACTATTCAGGCACAAGAAAATGAATCCAAGTGAGAAAGAACTTTGATTGATCAAAATACTAGAATACTTTTTTGTTACACCCGAGGGTGTATTGAAATTGGCTAATATAAGTATTCAATTGGTTAGTGAAAACTTGGCTAAACAATCTAAAATGAAACCTCCTTTAGTTAGGAGAATGGGTGAAGGGAGTAAGAGAAAGATTTTGAAAGTCTATGCTTCTCAGTGTGTTTGGTGTGGAAGAATGCAAGCATGCCATTATTATCGAGTGATTTTATGTGTGGGTGGCCTTGAGCATAAGATGATGCATTGCTCAGTACCTGGAGGACCTGGGAAATGAGTTGTTTATACTAGTGAAGGAAAGTGAGTAGTACTGCTCCATCTCGCCAGGAGATACCTGGTAGTTTCTCCTAGTGTGCACGAGCATTTCACTTGTATAATTTGCATTATTCAACAATTTAGAAGTTTCTAATACAATGTTAGAGTCATTTTTATGTGATTATTTATTTATATTTATTTTAATATCGATTAATCTATTAAATTTTAAAATTTTTATTATGTTCTCTTTCTCGTACTGTTATAAAAATATTGAGTATGATAATTTTTTTAAGGAGAGATCGTAATAACCTAAAAATATAAAAAACTAAAAAGAGGATTTCTATATGAATTGGAGTGCAGTGGCGTTGTGCTTAAGAGAACCGCGGTGCTAGATGAGAGCAAAACAACATTGAAAACTATTATTGCGACGTTTGAGTCTCTATTCTACAGTAATTCTAGATTCGGCATGCAGCACTACGATGATGGGTCAGAACACTATAGTGTTAGGCTAGTAATATTATTTGTATATATATTTAAAAATAAATATCCCTGCCACCCTCATCTCTCTTCACTCTCATGCTACTTGGCTAGGAAGAAATTGAAGAGGAAGAAGCTGAGAAAGGGGAAGAGGAGGATAGAGCAAGTTTCTTAAGGCTCTTTTATTTGTCATTCCGTTTATAAAAAATATTCTATTAATTGTAAGTGACTAACCTCTTTCTTTTATTGTCGATGATCTTTATTCTACAAATTTTTTCTCCTAAATATGTTAAAAATGCATTTTCTTCTGATATCATAAGCTTTCACCACGTAATTTTGATATGTTATAGCTTTAATCATTCTAAAGTATATGATATGATTCTATTGTATTTTTACTAGCTAGAAATGTGTGTAGGAATGTTTCTATGAAATGATTGAGTTGGGAAAAGGCATACTGAAAATTTGTTGAAAGTAACATACAATTATTTTCCATGATAATACTGAAATGTGATATGAGATGAAATAATTGAAGTGATTAATATGAATGAAAATGTACTAAAATAATATTAATTGATAAGATATAATGATGTACTAACTGATAATAGATTAATGATAAGAGTATGAATGATCGTATTGATACCCTAAAGATAAAATTATAGAAGATCGTATTGATACCTCAACGATAAGAGTACGAATTATCATGTTGATACCTTAATGATAATAATACATATGGTTATATTGATACATGTATGATAATAGTATTGAATGATCGTACTCACATCTCAATGATAATAGTATGAATGATCGTATTGATACCTCAATGATAAGAGTATAGATTAACATACTGATATATCAACGATAAGAGCACATATGATCATACTAATACCACAACAATAACAGTATGAATGATCATACTAATACCTCAATGATAAGAGTGTAGATAATCGTACTTATGCCTTAATGATAAGAGTATAGATAGTGTTGATGATATTTAATACATAATAAAAGTACATTTAGTGTTGATATATTATAAATAGTACCACCAATATATATATTTGAGCATTGATATGATTGACTTATTGAGAAGATATTTATAACTAAAAAATCTTGATATGTGTACCATTAATTTTATACTCAAGCATATTGTTGGTAAGCAATATATTCCTCCAAAAAGGGGAGGATATCACCCACCATCAATCATTTTAATATGAAGATAATGAACTTCGTTGATTTTTTAATTTTCCTAAGGAAATTTAATTAATTTTTAAATTGATCCGAGGTCTTTAAATCTCTCATGAAGGAAAGCCTTCATAATTAATTATATCGTAGGAACTTGGACTTCCTAAAAACACTTGATTAAAATAATGATAGAAATTTTATTTTTGATATTTCAATGAGTAACCTCGAAGGAATGATATTGAAATTCCAAATGGGATTGGATCAAATTTTGAGCACTTAATTTAGAGGCCAATAGAGAAATGGTAGGGGGTGTCTTGGGATTCTAAAACAATTCAAAAACACCCATATCTATCTTATGTATTTGGCTTTATATTTTGATTTAAAGAAAACTTTAATTTGAGTTGGAATTTATTAAAATGTTGGGATTATATTCCTGAAATCAGGGACTTATGATTTTGGGTTCCACAGATCTTAAAACTATTTTGGGCACCAAATCATGGTGACCCAAATTTAGCTAAAAGATATACAAATCTGGATTAATCCTAGCTTGGGTTAGGGAGCCAATTAACCATCTAACACTTCAAAACCATGAGTTCGATCTTTATCAAAGAGGGGTAAAATTGTTGTTTAAGTTTTTGAGAAATTGGGATTGATGTATAGAGAATGTCCTAATT